GTGGTTTGGGATCGGTTTTTTGTTCATTGGTCAAGACTAAAATTTGCTATTTTCCAGCAAAAACATAGCCACAATCATGCAATATTTTTAGAAATGGAATAGATTACTCACTAGCCACTAAAGATGCACTCAAGAACATCCGGTCTTCCAATAACAGTATAATCGTCCGTTCCATTAAAAAGCAGAGATGGTGCTTTATCTTCAACTGCAATTAAAATTATGAGTTCATCGCTTTATTAGGTAAAGGTAGGTATCGTGTCAACTTCTAATTCTCGTTGTTTTATTTCTTCCCTTTCTTTTTCTTGAATTGTGATTCTGTCACGCCTGTAGGAATAAAATTCATTTTAAAGTCACTGAGCTCCAGTCATCTTTTTGACACCTCTCAACCTTTTCAATAGAAAAGACATGTAATAGATAGTGAAATATCTAGTTTAAGATATTTTTTGAAGGAATTATGTGATTTTGGTACATTGATATTACTGCTGAAAACTATTTACATATATTCAAGAACCAAATCAACCCCCCAAAATGGTGCATCTGTCCCTTTTATACAAGAAAGTGAAAAAATATGATTAGACTTACTTTCTGACAAACACTGGTTTGAGTCTTGGTCCAACCTCCTCTTCTGAATCTGTGTATTCTTCATATTCAGATGATTCTTCTTCACTTTCCCCATCTGATTTCTCTTCTTCTACATCCATTACTTCCTGTATAATAAATAGGAGAGATTGACAGTGAATTCATTTATATTACCCAATGTATGCAAAAACTCATACTATTAGTCATTTCACAGAGGAGCTGCAGTGGCTCAGTGAGTTATTTAATGTACCTCATCTTCACGTTTCTGTTTAGCTCTTTGTCTCAATAAATTTCTTCTTCTTTCAAATTCTTCATCATCAATTTCTTCTTCTTCTTCACTAGACTCTTCCTCATCTTTACGATATCTTCTCTCTCGTTCATCTTCTGACATCTGATCAACAACTTCAGGTTCAACCACTTCACGTCGATGACGTGCAACTCTAAATAACAGAACCGGTTAAATAGCAATTAGGGGGTGAAAGATGACACAGGGTAGACTCTTGGAAGTACTCTCAGCGACACGAGAATTTTTCTTCACCTTATCGCCTAGCAGACGACAATCCAACTCGTTACAGAGCTATTCAACTGCCACTTGATTTGCTAGATAAACTAGGATCCAAAGTTTCCATTGATT